ACTGCAACAAGGGAACTGGACCCGTCATGAGCTGCCAGGGGCATTTTGGCTGCCCCATATGCATCTCAGTGATTTGGTTACCAGCCTGCCTGTGCCCATAGGTGCCCATGGTTACCAATCATTGCCTGCAGAGTGGTCTTATCCAGTTTCAAAAAGTCTGAGAGACAAGGCTTCGTCTTTGCTGTTCAGGCTGCCATGAGGATATTTAGAGGTTGACTTGCCATGCAGATGTGTTTCCAAGCACCTAGAAGTCAGATCTGGTGTCCTTATATTTAAATATAATCCAAGGAAAAGGAGGTACCATTTTCATGAAATCAGTATTTGATAAAAATAACAAATGGAAAAGACAGACCCAAACCAAGAAATGCAGAAATAAATATATACACATCCTTGAACCGCATTATGCCATCCAATCCTGACTCACATCCATGGCTTGAAGATTATACCCATAGATGCTGCATTAAAACTAATTAGCTGTTGGCTGTTTGAAGTGCTGTGCTTATGCTGCTCCAGTTCAGCCATTCCCTTTTAGCAGCTGCTGCTTTTCCAGTTGATGAACGTGTGATTTGAGCTGAGTGAGAAGCAGCATGGGGCGCATTCCAACACCTCCTCATGGGGATCAGTATAGCTGCATCAGGGCTGGGAGCCACGGAAAGAAAATGACCCCCTCTGTCCCTTGTGCGCATCTCTGGTACGATTTATATTGCTCTGGCAAAAAGCATCCTCGCTGAAGCACTGGACAGACACATAATAGATGAGCAGAGCCTGGTGACTGCAGGACAAACTGTAGCTGGTGAAGGGAGTCCAAGGCATGGTGGCAAAAATGCTCCATGGTGGGAGTTTTGCTCAGAGGTCTTCCTGGTGGGTTTTGGTGGTGAGTGGCTGGGTTTTTTTCGGCGTAGCATGTGCCAACTGCAGGTCTGCTTGTTTCAGTGGGCACCTGAACTCTGGCATCCTCCATGGCAAATCCACAGGCAGTGACGAGTGGGAAGGGCCTGCTTGAGGTTCAGGTTTGCCCCGGGGCTTGCCTCCACCCTTCCAGCCCTGCGAGGGGCTGCTCTTACGATGGGGAGACCCCATCCAGACCCCGCAGCAGCTCTCCCAGGATGGCCAGGGCTTCCTGCAGGCCCTGTCCGGTGTGGGCGCTGCATCCCTGGAGCACCCAACGGCGCTCCGCCAGCCGCCCCTGCTGCAGCCTCTCCCCCAGCTCAGCGGGAGCCAGCGCTCCCGGCACATCCTGCTTGTTGGCCAGGAGGAGGACGGGGACGCTAACCATGCTGGGGTGGCTCAGCGTTTCCTCCAGCGCCGCTGCTGCTTCAGGCAGCCGGGCCGTGTCTGTGCTGTCGAGCACGAAGATGAGGGTGTTGGTGTCCTCCAGGTAGTCAGGCCAGCTTGCCCGCAGGCTGCCTTGTCCACCGACGTCCCAGAGGGTGAAGGATACATGACAGGGCGTTTGCAGAGACTCCACGTTGAAGCCCACCGTTGGGCAGGTCTCCACAGCCCGGCCACTCTTCAGTTTGTACAGCAGGGTGGATTTGCCAGCGAAGTCGAGCCCCAGCATGACAACTCGAGCATCTCTTCGGCGCTGGCCTTTGGAGATCAGCTTCCCCATCAAGATGCTGTCACAACTGTGGCAAAAAAATTGCAGCCAAAAATAGAAAGCAAGTGTGTTTTGTCGAGAATGGCAGTTAATAACAGATTGCTCAGTCCTGCCTCTCCAAGAAAGCACCTCAGGTTTGCTGAAGGCAGACTCAGGCAGCTTGCTTTTGCTTCTCTTCTTAGCTAAAATAAGGTGAGAGAGATTATTTATGTGGTGTGGAGCAGAGCCAGGGAGCGCTGTTGGAAACCACAATTTCTATATCCCAGCTCCGCTGCCGCTAACTTCCATTTTCATTCGCGACCTGAAGTGATCGGTGCAAAAGAGAGCCAACATTTTGCAGGAAGGGGTGGGGAGATCGTGGAGCAAGTTTCCTTCTCATCCTATACAGAAATAAATGAGCTTTTGTTCATTGGCTTCTCTAGGGGAAATCCACCCCCCGCAGGACAGGACAAGAAGGAACCTGAGTTTCAGATCAGAGTTACTCCGGGAATTTGCTGAATCACAGCTCAAGGGTGTGGATTTAAACATGAGCAACAAGACAACTGACAATTTTACTGCCACTCTTACAGTAGAAAGCACAAAACCAATCCCTGTAGCATCAGCTTCCACTACCTGTTGTGCAGACTGTAATGACAGCAATTTAAAAAAATGCACACAGTCATGTTTTTTTTAATGTCTTACTGAAATACAGCCAGTCAAAACACCTTCCCTGAGGTGAAAAATCTATAAAATTCTTTACATCAAGGTATTTACTACATTTTAACTTTCATAAGTGAAGCAAAGCCAGTCCTCTGTGGCTGAAGGGGTAAAAAAAAAATCCCTTAAAAGAAGGGAAAAATGTTTAACAAGACAGCACCACTTGAACTTTACATTCCAGAGGCAAAAATGTGCTGCTGAAACAGCTCCTAGAGTTGCTTGTGCAAGAGGAAAGCAAAGCCGGTATTTACCTTCTTTATTGGTTGGGTTTTGCTCCTAAAAGGCTGCTCAGAGGCATGCAGAACTGAAAGCGGCTGTAAATCTCACATCGCGGCATTAATGCAGAGCTGCTCTCCAGCCACCTTTATTTGAGGATGAAGAAGGAAATGTGATTCTTCTGTGCTTCCCTGGGACTGCCCGGGACTCCCACATGTCTGTGGGAGATGCAGTTTCCCCAGCGATGATCTCTGCATGACACCTCCATGTTGCAAGCCACCATTGCTGGGGATGAAGTTCAGTGTGTGGAAGGGACTTGTTTGACCAGTGACCATGTCACTGGTGGCCAACCGGAGGCGTATTTCTTACCCCGGGGCAATATGCGTCAGTTTTCCAACTTTTAAAGGAAGACGAATGAGAAACAAAACAAACCAAAACAAGGAGTCCAGCCCAGACAGGCTGCACAGGATTGCAAGGGGTCCTACAGACCGTGTTTTGCAAGGTATTTCTGTCATACATGTCTCTCTCGTAGTTAACCTACAGAGCTGGTTGGCACCGAGAGCCTCCATGAGCTTTCTGCAGCTTGTGGATATGTAAGATGTGTTGCCATCGTCAGGCTTTGGGTTAATTCAAAAGCTAATGCTTACTTACAGCAGTTGTTGCAGAGTTAATCTAACAGTATAAATGTACCACCATGCATGTGATAAATCATGCAGTATATGTTCATGTGTGATCTTTGCTGAAACCAGTCTATAAATGGAAAAAGGGCAGGAAGCTCTCTAAATGGGAATAAAAAAAGAGAACATGATGTGCAGTGGATCTTGATCCTTCAGAGAACTGTTTGCACACTCTGCAGTGCATGCTGCTGCCTGAGGGTTACCCATTTGTCCAAGTTCTTCATTTTTAAAAATAAGCTAAATTGTTGTCTGGCTCCTTAATCTGCTTGTTCTCCATTTTGGGAAACCCTTCCTCCCCATATTGCATTGTACTGTAAGATCAATGTAGTTGATATTTTTTGACATACCAGTGGGTCAAGTGAATTGTCTCTTGATCTTTTCATGTTTCTCCTGCCTTTGCTACTGCTCGTCTTCTCTGAGGCTTGATAGGAGGCTGTGGTACACATCTGTTTCATCTGACCAGACATTCATAGTACTGAAATGTCTTTTAAGCAAACTAAAATATAGATACAGGAAGCAAGGGTGGAGATACTACCATCCAATGAATAATTGAGTATTTGAAATATGATGTGATGGAGTCTTTATTGCATCAGTCTCTAATATGCTACAGAAGTCAGCTGCTTCTGTAAAAAAAATAAATAAAAATAAGAAATAAAGCCAGAATAAAGAATGCAGCTTGGGTGCAGTTTTACTGAAGATTACTTTCAGGTTTTCTGTGGCACAGAATAGAGTGCAAATGGGCAAACAGAGGCAACTCTGTATTTTTTTTTCTTACATTCTCTTACCCTATGTATTGAACTGCAGTCTATTTTCTTTCTTCCTGCCAATTATTCCAAATATGGGGTGCAAACTGTGCCTACAGAATCTGTTCCACCCACAGCTATTATATAAAAGCATAGTATTTCCAGTAAATAATACATGGGAGCAATTGCAAGTCTGTTTAAGAAAGAATGAAAGGAAAGAAAGTAAAAGCAGATGAGATGAGTTCTGACTGAGTCTATTGCCAGAGGAGAAAGGCCGTATGCTAAATAATTCAGAAATTGTATTCAGAGATGAGGACAGTCCCTACCCCAGCTACGTCTTACATGGGCAGAACAAATGTTCTTGCCTCATGCTTCATGCCCCTGAGTTCACAGGAGCGAAGCTAGTGGTTGCTTATTCCATTTATAATTTCATAGAATTTCTATTTGTTTGCTCTTTGTAAGGCATGCATTCCCTTGTTTCCTAGGTATTCCTCACAAAGAACAATAATCAGAACTAGTACTATAAAAGAGAATCCTCCCTCCTCCCCATGCCCTAAATATTCCAGTGACCGGAATTTTGTCCCAATCGTTTTATTCACTGTCAAAGCATTTTGCCCTTACTCCATGGGGTGCAGACAGGAGGAAGAAAGGGACTTTAAACTGAAAGAAGGTAGATTTAGATTGGACATAAGGAGTGGTGACACACTGGCACAGGTTGCTCAGAGAAGTTGTGGATGCTCCATCATTGGAAGTGTTCAAGGTCAGGTTGGATGGGGCTTTGAGCAACCTGGTCTAGTGAAAAGATGTCCCTGCCCATAGCAGGGGGGTTGGGCTGAATGATCTTTAAAGGTTCCTTCCAACTCAAACCATTCTACAGTTCCATGATTCAGGTTAGACATTAGGAAAAATTTCTTCACCGAAAGGGTTGCCAGGAACTGGAATGGGCTGCCCAGGGAAGTGATAAATACCTTTTTAATACCTCGCCATCCCTGGAGGTATTTAAAAGATGGGTAGACGAGGTGCTTAGGGCCTTGGTTTAGTGGTGCGATGGCAGGGTTAGGGTCACGGTTGGACTTGGTGATCTTAAAGGTCTTTTCCAACCTAAACAATTCAACGATTTTATGATTCTGTGACCTGCAGTAGGACATGAGACACAGGCTTTGGAGAACAAGCCGATAGTTGATGTTTCTCTAGGGAGACCACAACATCTATGGGTTAGACTATGATACTCTTAGCATGGCTGTCAGATAGTCTTCATGGCTGTGATGCCATACACCAAAACAGGGTGAGCTCTGAAGCAGGGAGGTCTAATGCTAACCAATTCACTGGAAATCAGTGTTAACCATGTAGCAAAGGTGCAGCCAAGTCCATCAGAAACACTTCTCGAGAAGGCAGTGCCCCTTATTACACATTATCAGACTCCCAGAAGTATTCCAAAAAGCAAGGCAGAAACTTCCAAGCAAGCTGCACTTCAATCCTTCCCTTTTTTTAGTGCAAAACACTTCCCATTAATGGCCTCACAGGCATTGCGCAGCCACTGCTGCTTCGTCTCTTCCGTTAGACACACAGTGATCTTTTACTTCTCGAGAAGGCAGTGCCCCTTATTACACATTATCAGACTCCCAGAAGTATTCCAAAAAGCAAGGCAGAAACTTCCAAGCAAGCTGCACTTCAATCCTTCCCTTTTTTTAGTGCAAAACACTTCCCATTAATGGCCTCACAGGCATTGCGCAGCCACTGCTGCTTCATCTCTTCCGTTAGACACACAGTGATCTTTGCATCAAAGAGGTAATTAGAGGCACGTGAAAGCTTTTGCCACTGAAACCAAAACATTACCTTCACTAAAACTGTAAATAATTTTTTATCATAAATAGTTTTTCATCTCAAACTAAATTGCTCTGTAGATAACGTGTAGGTAATACAGGTATAATATGGGTCACCTCCAAATCACCTCACAAATCTCACCCAAATAATATTCACAATATCCATGTGGGTGTCAGAGCACTGAGGGCACTGAGGGGCCTCACTGGCACTAATCAGCCTCCCTGGGGCTGTCCCCAGGCAGCGTCCCCAGCAGAGATGCTATGGAGCTCAGGAGATAGGTGCCTTCCCCCCAGCACACCCCTCCAACAGGGGACACAAGCCAGAGGATACTTCCCTGCCCAGTGGTGGAAGGAGCTGGGGTGGGGGTTTGATCCAGCCCATGTCACCTCTTTGGAAGGCAGCTTGGGGGGACACAACCCTCAGCAAAGCCAGGAATAACAGGAGTAGATCTGGTTCTTACCATGAGTGTTCGCCCTAATGGCATCTGCTTGCAGCAACAAGTAGATCCCAGCCCAGTGAAGGCCGACTGTACCTTCCCATCCAGACTTGCTTGTGTCTCTGAGGAAAGCCACCAAAGCTGCCATTCACCCAGCCCTGACAGCGTTTCCTGCAAGATCTCTTCACTATATCGTATGTGGAAGGGCCACCGACAGAGGGGGTGTTCAGACTAGCAACTGTCAAGAAAGCCTGCTGGGAGCTGAAGGAGGCCCTGGACACAGGTGGATGTGTTGACCTGGAAAGCCCACCTGTTTACCTGCTAGCTGTCATCTTCAAGGGGGCTTCCTCCAAGTTTGGGCTGTGAGAGCTCTTTCCAGAGCTGCAGGGGACCACTGGTTTTGACCTAGCTGGGACCCCAAGCTAAAGCCACAATAAAGCCAAATGTGATGGTTCAAGCTCAGGGAAGTTTGGCCTTTTTCTTTTCTGTATCCTGCTCTGTTCCTCTTGTTCTGCCCCCGATTTCTGGTGTGCTCATGGGAAGCTCACCTCACACTCTTCCTCAGTGCTCTCCTGCTAACAGACTAATGCTGGTTTGCTTGGCACGTGCCAGGAAGGTCCCTGTCCCATCAGGGTCGATGGGTAGCTGTGAGAGCTGGCAGCTGAAGGCAAGCTGCTTCCTCCTCAGATGGAGTCCCAGAGGCATGAAAGCTGGCTTAGCCTACCCTGAAAGCTACACAATACAGCCACAGGCTTTGACGTGCCTTAGGAAAGCCTGCCTGCGGTGACACCTCTTGATGACGTATGATTGCTCAAAGTTGTTGACCGACTCCCAAAAGTTCAGCGTGACAAGATGCACAAAACGCGCAGCAGATGTTAAGGACAGATTAGTCTGGAGGAAATTCTGCTTTGTAGCATACAAATCCAGTTCCCCTTAAGGGCCCTTCCCTCGTTCCAGTTCCCCAGGAAGAAATGTTATTGAAATTATAATGTAAGCATGGACCTGAAAATGCACTTCGTACAACTTGTCAGGTTCCGGAGCAACAGTGGAGTCTCACTCTCAGCGCTCCTCAGATTCAGGGGTTTTGTCTGATCATTTGGTTTTAGTTTTTGTCTTAGCTTACACGTTTCAGACAGTTTATAACAATAAAGGAAATGCATTGAAAAAATACTGGAAAATATCAAGAAGAACGAAAGCTGCAAACTGATCTTTACTACCTTTCTGTCTGGTAAAACAGATGAAAGCGAAGAAAACCTGTAACAATTCACAAATTGCATTTTAGCTGGCTGGCCACGGTGTGTCACTGTTATCCCACACATGGCTTAAAGGAGAGCCTATCTCCAGGGGAATGGAACAGCTCCTGCCTAAACCGCAGATGTCAGAGCTCCTGCTTTGATTAGGGGAGGACTTCCCTCCGTAGAGCCCTCAGGCTTTTGTGGCACCCTTTTGCGGCAGGATCACTTTGAAACAGGTTTTCTGTACGTATATTTTGTGTATCTGTTCTTTCACACCCATAGAAAGCTGATGGTGAGGACTGCAGAACAGAGTTGAATAAGATGCCAGCTTCCATGCAGGTGACATTTAGCTCCAGATTGGTTTCATATCAGACTTAGCTGGCACCGTATCATAGGACTCTGCGGTTGGATTGAAAACAGTTAACCGATTGATGGAAAAAACACTGAACGAGGAGGAGAGAAACACCTCGAAGAATTTTCTTCTTTTAATATCCTTTAACAGGTCACTGACAGTTGCCATCATGACTCTTCACTGTGGTCACTTACGGAGCTGCAGATACAGAACAGACTTTTTAATTTACAACTGGCAAGATTATAAATTCTCCTAAACTTGGATTTATCTATGACTACGCACATCTTTGTGATCTCCAGTTTTGACAACCTATACTTAGGAATTAAACTGCTGATACAGGTTGCATTAGGGTTTGGGGTGTAATTCCATGCCATGCTATTGTCCATTTCGAATCTCAAATGTTCCCAGTTTGGTCACTTGAGAAAAGCACCTCGTAGTCATCTGCTGCTGTTATCAAAAGAGAGGTAACCTGAGACTATCAGTGTAAGAGAGAAGGATCAGCATCTGTGCCAGTCAGCAATGAGTTACACATTATCTGTATACTGTCTTAAGCACTAATTCCTTTTATTCTAAAAACCTTGCCTCTCAGTATCGTTGCTTTGCCTGGCTGACCTATTTAATGCTTTCATAACATTTCCAGTCTGTCCTAACTTTTCCAAGAAGGATATAAGGTTTCATATCCCTTTTCCTTCTAGAAAAAATGATGGGGGGAGCTTGCTTTCTGTTATTGTTGGCTTTTACAAAAAGCCAAACTGAAAGAAAAAGAACTGAAAATAGTTATTTGTGAGACAATCTGATTACTCCTGCTCCATGCAGAGCGCTTTTTTAGCTCTTTCAGCAAGCTGTAAAGCTCAGACACAGTATAAACTGTCCGCAACTACTGCTTAATGACTTATTGCACACGGTAAAAACTAATCAGTGATAACTAATAACAAGAAACCCACGTGAATAAAAAAACCTGACTGGGGGCTTGTGTTCCAATACTTGTTAAAACAACTGGGTTTCTCCATATTGTAACTAAGGGGCAGGTCTGCTCTATAGTACTAAATAGGATCAAAGTTTTGTTTACACAGCTCCACCTTCGCACCATTTCCTAGCAATGTCAGGAAAGGCAGTTGTTCTTGACAGACGATTCCTTTGTGGAGCCACAAACGCGAGCTGAAAATAAATGTTGTGTATGTTCCATTTCTGGCTCTTTTAGGGTTTCCCATGGAGACTCTGATGACACTTTTCCACATATCTTCTTATTTATGCCTTCTCTTTTTGTTGCTCCAGAATTTGTACAACCTATTCAGCAGTGCCTTCCTGATGCCAGCTAGTCATTCAACAGTGCAGTAAGCAGGAACTTGGCAGGGAAAAATCTCTTTTTACCCTGGACCTACTGCTGTGCCTTCCTCGCCTCATATTCCAGGGCAGAATTTCTTCAGCATCACTGATTCCCTCCCAGAGCAACCCATCCACACTTGATTCCTTGGGCACCGAAATGGATTTTCCTTCCTTTTTCCCTTTTTAAAAATTGTATTTTCTTCTTTAAATAGCTTTATTCTAAATTGACCACCCCTAAAGACAGGTTGATACTTCCAGTGGGCTCCACCCTACCGCTTGCTTTCAGATCTACCAGCTCCCCACTCACTGCAAACCCCAGCTGCCTTCTGACCCAGTGCACAGTCAGGAAAGCAAGTAAATTTCAAGAAAAGCGGAAGCCATTTCCTGGTAACAACTCTGTGTTACAAAAGAGCTCTCTTGGGAGGGCTAGCTTCCAATCTTCCCTTTCCTGGATCCTCCCCCACGGCTCCATCTCCTACTTGATCTGCAGGTATAAACACAGGGAGAGCCGTAAAGAGACAGGATGATGTCAATGGTAACTTCTAGCTGGCACTTAAAAACTGGCTGAAAAGCTATGAAGGGAGAGAAGCCTTTATGTGGCTGTGCCACAAGACCGTTAACGCTAAGCAAGCAGCCGGTTTCAGACATTACAGGCGCGCTAGCCTGAAGTAAAACCATCACGAACCCCGTCACAGCCCTGCGAGATTCTGCTTGATGGCGGCCAGGGCGGGAAGCCTGGGCTGGCTGCAACCCCACCTCGCCTTCGCCTCAGCTTCTCTCCGGTGAGGATGCGGAGGCCGTGCTGCCGGCCTACTCCTGCCGC